GGGTGCCCTGAAAGCCCCTCCCGACCAACGGGCTCTGCCGTGAGATGAAAATGTCAATGGCTGTGACCACTGATCGATGAGTACTCCGTAGTGATTGGGAGGTTTAGAACGGGATGAACAAGACTGCCAGGGTGCCGTGTCGGCGACTCTTTTCCTAGTGCAGCCCATCTTGCGAATGCATCCCTGGGATTCCTCCGGTCCATTATGGGGAGGGACACCGAAAGTCTGAATGAACAACAGAGGGTATGCGGATTGGCACCATACATGATTTTGAATAAACAACCGAACTGAGGTTGTCTCACCCGCAGTGAGATACCTACATAAAGGGGCCTGAAGGCCATGCGGGGTGCGACTGGAGGCAGCCACCACGTCTTGTCCAGCAGCCAGGGTTCGCATGGGCAAAAAGGTGTATGTACAGTATGGGAATGACCTTACCCAGCATTATGCGTGTGACTGGAGCATGGCCTGCATACTTTGCATAGCCGGCACAACGATGTGGGTCAGATCAATGTCGATGAACAAACAACCTTCTTTAGAACGATGATATGCATAGCGAATAAAGAAACACCTTGGCCCAACTTTGTTGGAACATGACTTAGAAACCGTCATGGTCATCCAGCAAAATGTCTCAAATTAATGCGTGACGGAATCACAGGCCTATTGTGGGTTCCCAATAGCCATCAATGAAAGGGCATGTCAACGGGACCCCAACTGATCAGGGCGGGTGTTCTGCACACTTCCAGCATGTCCAAATTGCTGTCAGTGCGTCGGTTTGTGATTCGGAAGGATTCTGAGGCATCTCCGTTGTGCAGTTTGACAGATGTGGATAGACTAGAGGATTGCCGTAGGGATTTATTCATAGCCGAAGGTCTGGCAAAAATTGATCGGCAAGAGGAGGCCCGGCGCAACTCCGAGATGAAAGATGAGTGGTCAGCTGAAGATGTCGGGATACTCCTGTGGGCAAGGTGTACCCGGGCACCCTTGTTCGAAGCCTTGAGAATGGGGCGACGACTTGTGCACACACCAGCTCTGACAGACAGATCCAGCTTGGCTCGGTTGGGTTGATCCTAGCAGGCATGCTGAGTCGCAGCCCTGGACATGGCGACTATAATAGAACAGGATGAAGTAATAACGAGCAAGCCCGAGGTGCTGTATTTATCCCGATGAAGGACTAGTTGGGCGGCCGATGCCAAGGAAATAACTTCAAGAACCAGGGTTTCGCTAGTGATGACCCTGGTACTGTAACCGATGTGGTCTGAACTGCATGCACCTGGATTAGTGATCTTGCCCATGGATTGACCGTTGAGGAAATGAGATGGGTGGTTGCGATGCACGTACCGCTCAACGGCGTGCTGATCAGCATACCTCTTGGCATGAAATCAAGTGTTTGTTAGTTACCAGTTAGTGAGTTAGCTTGCAGTAGGTAATCTCGAAGCATGAATCTGGCTTGTGGTGGCGTAGAGATTCGTAGATGATCGGTTATACGTACTAATCTACTAGATGTTCAAGATACGAGCTGGAAATCGATCCGGCCAATTTACATACTGGCGCCTCCCGTCAGTGAATCATGAGAATCTCTATTTTAGGTAGTACTTACCTGACCGTACGCACGTACCTGCCTATCTATATGTATGTATATGGAGCCGCCGTATGTGTATTCCCAGGAAAGAGGTAAGGTCGGTATGCATTCAAGGCACCTTCCATTCCAAAACCCCGTGCAAGGTAACGTGATGCGGACCATGATGTGGAGAATCTTGATCAGCTTCCCCATCCTGGAATAGCATCACATCGTCTCCGTAACAAACGCCAACCTCAACGGTGAGTGCAACTTCATCGGTTCACCTGCCGGTCCTGGACCTCAAACCTTCCAGACTTCACCTCGGAAGGAGAAACAAAGTTTATGATCCTGTTTAAGCTCGAGACTCATCTGCCGAGATCAGGCACACCAGGGACCAACAGGCACGCGCCAGCAAGCCTCGGTACGGTGTAACGTTCAATCCTTCTTGACTGATACCATGTTTTCAAACGGATAACTTAAGCTTCATTCAGGTGCCAAGATCAAGTATGACTTTGACCGTCGTCGGTGGCAGACCGTATTGAGCCTAGAGATGCTACAATACCTGCTGTTTCAGTGCACCTACGCCGAGCAGCACATGTCCTATGCCATGCTGCCCTGCAATCCCTTCCAAACCGTTTTCTTAGGGACCAATCGTGGCTTTCGAGAATGGCTATCCTGGCTCCGGAGGTGATCCCAATACGTCCCGGCGCCGTGCGATCTTCGCGACGATCGTATAACTTGACAAGCCAATCGCATTAAAGCTTTTACTGACAGGCTGTTGAGTTTATGTTCTGCGATTTGTGCAAGGGCTAGCAAGCTGTCATAATTTATCTATTCATGTACGATCGAATAACTCTCCGGCCCATGGCTGATGTCTAACCAGCACAAGGCGAAGAAATAGCATCTCCTAAAGAATTTGAGGTGTGGGTCGCCCATCTCTTACTTATCAACGCACACACATACACATGCGTGTCTTTGCACTCAACTAGGCGTCTGGATGTTTATTCCAAGATCTTGTTGGACCGCCCAAGACCCAGGGACTTGGGCCTGGACTGCCCGTCGACGCCACGGGCCTCCCGTCTATGTACCCGCTCAAGCCGCGTCACAGTCAGAAATCCTAGTGATATGAGTGGGCTTATCCCCCCCTTTCAGGATTGCTGAAAATCCAGGAAACAAACATAGCGTAACACGACGACAAGCAAGCAGGCAAGGCATTCCTGACCACATTCAACAACCCCACATTGGCTGCCGAACACACAATGAATGCCGGGAGCCTATGGTCCCTACCTACGGACACAATTGCGAGGTCGTTTGGTTCAGCCTCGAAGCACAGACGGGTAATGACAATTGTACGACGATGACCACTTACTTAAAACTCTACCGTGCAGTCTGGGTGCCTGAGATAGTGACGCCTACAAAACTGGACGCCGATCCACAACCCGGTACTGACGTGTAATTGCTTGCTTGACGGTAGCGAGCCCAGGACAACGCTTGATTCATGGCATATCTACAACTTACAAATGCCATTGTCAGTGGCGGGTGCCGTAGCCGCTCTAGCGCTGCCCCTAGCCACAACAACTATGGAGATGACACCCGTCAAATATCGAGGCTGGACTGTCCCCTCGGGTCCGGAAAATAATGAGGAATTCTTAGGTGCGTTTACCACCAAAAGTGTCCCGTTTATTTCCCGGACACCTAGACTGTATCAGCCAGAGGCAAAGCCAGACAAAAGCGTTACGGCGCCTCCCAGCGCTGAGCATCCGTCATTCTTGAACTCTAATAGCACCACAAGCCCGAAACCCATCGGCCTGGGTCAGAGCGCTCCAATCTCGTGATCCCCTCACAAGCAGTGGTGAGAGACTATGAGTGGCCTCTTACTTTTACAACGTTTACAACCACAACCACAACCAAAGTCGGCAATCTAGCGCCAAGCCACAGAGGCTTACCAACGTTGAGGAAATGCAGATCCAGTTAGGGATAAAATTTTATGCCCATGTCGAAAATTGTGGTCTGGCCTGTTCAGGACAGGGTACTATCAAGCATGACCACAAACTCTTATATGTCTGTTTTCGTGTCGGTATGCATGCGCGTGTAAAGACAGATGCACATGCAATGATACCCTAAGCTCCGGTCTGGTCCTCGCGTAGGACAATCCCATTCATCGCACGTTCTCTCTCAACCGCCATGACTCCATCGTCCTGACAAACAACGTATGTACATAAAAAGGGACATGCAGATGGGGGTGGAGGAGGCGAAAACTAGCTGACACTCCACACTCCACATCGAAAAGGCTGCCAAATCGCACACGCCATGGTGTGTCAGCCACTATGGACCTGGACAACTTTCTCTATTTCTCCAACTGGGTTCCTAAATTGAGAACTAAGAGCCATGAGCGCCAGGTCTTGGCCTCTTGTTGAGTCCCTGCTCCATGTCGATAACCACCCCTGATCCAGGAAGCGGCCATATCCCAGCAACCACCACGAGCCTGTCAAAGCTGTTCATGAGTGTTTTGGGATTGGTGACGTTTCTCTTGTCCTGAACGATACGACGCTAGGTTCTCTCAAGCCAGGCCATTTGTTTCTTCATCTTGCCCCATCCTTCATTCCCCCTGGCTTCTTGATCGCCCTGTGTACCCTGTTCAAGCTCGCATGCCTGAGCCCTTCAGGTTTAGACTGCCCGTCAGGTTGTTTCCTCCACACCTCGAGGCAAAGAAGTCTCTTGGAGAGGTACCTGTCTGTATTGCTTTAAAGAACCTGGCATCCCAGTCCACAACGCTTTGTTCCCACGTCGTTGTCTGTGGCTTGGATAAGTTGGTTTCACTAATACTGCGACTTCTCCAGTTCAGCCCCGACCACTTTGAAATTCTCCGCTCAGACTGTTTATGGCCCTGTGTCTTCTGGCATTTCCTAACCTGGCTCCCTCGTCTACGTTGCCCTACGGTTGAGTAGCCCCCACTACATGGGGTTTGGAACAACCGTCAAGGCCAAACGCCGCCATTATATCTCTGATATACAAAAGGCTTGGGCGTCCCACCAACGGCAAATAACCCCCGACTCATCGTTACTCTCTTGAACCACCATCTCCTTCTCTCCATCACTATCTTCTTGTAATACGACCAGGCTTAGTCTTCAAGACTGTTTGCCTGATTTCGCTCTTTACTCACCAACGCTGCTGTTTCCTGAACTGTCTATTAGATCAGCAACGTTGCGGACTGGACGATCGTTCAAGCGTTCCTTGACTTCACATTGCGTAATACTCCAAGGTACAATTCATCATTGATCGTAATCGAGAATCGAATTGTCATTCATACCGGGCAATAGATCACGATAACCGCTGCGCGGTTACTCCTCGCATTGTTCGCCGTATTGTTATGGAAGATAGGCGTTCACTGTCAAAACAGTCTGAAACGAAATCACCACACTCAGCTCCTCAACTTCCCAATATGTCTATGCTTGCTACGGCATCCCCTTCTCCTCACCCTTCGTCTTTCGGCATGCCCCGTCCATGGGAAACCAACCGATGTCCCGACTATTCACTCCGACCGAGGACCGAAAACGACAAAGTTGCACTTCCTTCAATTCGACAGGTACATTACATCGGTTCGGCAAGCAAGCCATTATGTTTTGCTAAAACCTCACAGGCATTCCCCGAATTACAGCTTCAGACCCAGCCGACACGTGATCTTAACACCAAGCCGCCATCTACAGGGCCACCCTTAGGCGCACCACCATTGCCCGCAGCATCTCCTCAATATATACACTCACCCAATTCTAGCAAAAGAAGGCGGCTATCAATGGAGCGTGAAGTTGAAATGGAGAGAGTCCGCCAAGTACCACGCTTGTGCTACAGTCCAGATCGAGCTTCACCCAGACAGATTTCACCACACCTACCTATCCAAGGGGGATCACAGGAGAATTGGGCCGCTCCAACAAGGACAAGCCCTTTTCTGACAAACGGGTCAAATTCCCACTCCGTCTCAATGGAAGTCAGTGAGAGAACAGAGCCTCGGTCAACGCTACCCAGTCTTCCTCCACCACGTTCTTTGGAACGAGAACTACCCGTGGGCCGTGGCACAGCACCTGCAGACGGCTATCGGCCACCTCAGCAGTCGATGCCACATTCACGAACTCCCATATCTGAGCCTGGTGTCTCACCATACCGTGAAAACGGTTATGGGTATCCTTACCACCACCCGACACGATATCAGTCACTATCCACAGGATCAGCTCACTCGTATGACCGGACACCTTTTACTCCAGGCACATATAACACACCTTATCAAGATTTCGTTCGATTTGGAGACATGAGCTCTGCTAGTCTTAACGGTGATAACAAACAACGGAAGCGAAGAGGAAACTTGCCCAAAGAGACTACAGACAAGCTCAGGGCGTGGTTCGTCGCACACCTTCAACACCCATACCCTACCGAGGACGAAAAGCAAGATCTCATGCGACAGACTGGACTGCAGATGAGTAAGTTTGGCTGGACTAAACTAAGGACGGACAGGCCTAGTCAAGACTGGAAACTAACATATCCACCAACAGATCAAATCTCAAACTGGTTCATCAATGCTCGACGTCGCCAATTGCCAGCCATGATCAACAACGCTCGCGCCGAAACTGACGCCATGACGGGCGCTCGAGGCGGTGACCTAAAGGTCCTCGCCACAACAGAACGGGGTGACTTTGACCACTCCAAACGAGAGCCCGCCGGACCCTTAAGTGATAGTGAAGGCGCCACTTATGACGAGGAACTTGAGGCGTTGAGCCAGCGCCGGCCTGGCACCATCGGCAGGGGCAGCGTCTAAACTCAGGTACTATGAAGGTCTGCATTGGACATTATTTGAACGATCTTGTTTTTTTTCGGAGCGATACCCTTGTTCGGGTTTGGTATGGGAATAGCGCATTTAATGTTCTTGCTACTGTTTCTTCTTTATGTTTGAGGTTTTAGCCTCCAAACGCGTTTAGCGACGGGATATCCCTTGGGTGTTTGTGCCATCCAAAGTGGGGATGTTGTTTATTCCCTTTGGTCAGCCATTGATACTTTGGGAACAAAAAGCATGGAGGACGATTATCAACATTTCTACGAAGAAAACGCGATATATACGATAACAGCGTTTGCATGGAGGATAAAGAGAGGATGGGTCTCCCGGATAAGCATTGGACTCAGAGAAGATTAGACACCTCGCGGACAATCTACGATAATCTAGGGGCTCATGATGACTTTGGCAAAAGGTGAACCAGACGCCTTCCTTGTCAAATCATGTCAAATCATATCAAATCATATCAAATCAAATCAAGTCAAATTACAAGACAAGGAAAACTTTGCCAATCAGGGATGAGCCAACTACAGACCACACTATTAGGAAGCGTCCATCCGACAGTGACCTACCGTCTGTGCATGCATGCATGGGTGGGTGTAAGTCCAGGCAGGACGGGCCACGGTAGGATTTTAGTTGATTCACCTATTAAGGATAGCTAACCATATTAGAATGCTTTGATCTTAAGTGGGAATACCAATTATCGTGAATTTCCCGACCCCCGGTCCACCAATATAATAGCATGAGGCAGCCAGCCAGCCAGTCTTACCGATACCATCGCTAACACCCACTTATTACTCGCTCCAGAATCCCTATGTTTGCCAGTGCAGATTTAGGGGAGCCATGTGGAGTCAATGGAGAGGATGATCTTGGCCGGCGCTATTTAGAATGCCACTGGTCACATAGCGGCAACGGCTAGCCTATGTTAGGGGCCACTGGTTTGATAAAACCAACTACCACCTCACCTCAAATCCGATCAGGTAGAGAAGGTCTGCCCAGCCTCAGTGAGGAAAGGAGACCTTGCTCCGAGAAGGGAGCCAGGGACCAAGTCGAGGTCCGTGTTGGAAATGTCTTTGAACCAAGAGCCAGTCGGCCGGTTCTGACATCCTAAACTGGGCTACGGAGGATTTGAGGACACTGACTCTGTTAATGCAAGACACACCCAACGGAGACTCTCCGATGCTTGGAAGTTTGATGCAGCAGGAGAAGGCCAGGTAGGGTGTGGGTGGCATACATACAAACATACCTAGCTGCTTAGGTGGGAGGCTGGATGGTTGCATAAAAGACAAGTTTTTTCACGACTTAGCAATGATGAGCACACATTCAATGGCAGTTACGCATGGCGCCAAGAAGGGAATCTGGACGAGAAAGACAGTGAGAAGGAAAAGGAGGTAGTATCTGGTATCCATAGCACTGAGAGGCAGGTTGTTTACTACCTTAGTCAATAGCAGGCAATAGTTCATGGTTGAAGATATGCAGCAACAGCAGCACCACCACAGGCAACAGCAACAGCAACGCCCACAGGTGCGCCTCTGCCGCTGCATGCACATCTAGACAACCTCATGAGGCGGCTGCCTTCCCAAAAGAGTAACTCATGGCTTGTGACGGTTTGCAAGCGACTATATTGCTGTCAGGGCCGGGTCAAGGGCGCTTGGATTGCGGCACTTGCAAAGGCCACATCGGGCTTCTGGGAGCGCCCTGAGCCGTGAATGCCGCAAGGACATCCATCTCCTTGTGCTCCGTACATAAAGTTCAGTCGAACGATCTACGCATGCAGACCAGCTGGGAACAGGGATGCACAGCGGGCATGAAACATGTCAAGATTGACCGGTGAGGGGGTGTTTCCAGGCAAGGAAGACAGGGCGACAGGGAGACAGGGCCACTTGTGACCGGTCCAGGTGCCTAATACCTAATATGCAAAAGGGCCTGAAAGTTGACCACTTCCCTCAGGAGATGTGAGCAGACGGAAACAAGCATAAACCAAGCAACTTAGACAAGACGGTAGATGCACTGTCCACGAAAAGTGATAATAATACCAACCAGACCATGCATACATAGATCAAGTAGTCATGTTTTGCCGAGCTTCCACTTGAATCAGTATAACACACCGGACCGACGTGATCTCATTTTCTGTGTCAATTGACAGGCAGCCAGTCAGTCACTGTTTGTCTTTGTGGCAGCTTTGCAGAGCCTCCAACGGATATCAGGTGAACAGTCTGCCCGTATGTCGGTCTGTCTTCGTGGTATGCTCTGGACATCATAATGTGCAGCAGTCACTCTATTTGCCCCTGTCGCTGGAGTATTGTGTCGTGAAAGTCATTCGGGCATTGGCTTGTTTCAACAAATCTCACATGATAAAGACCCCACAAACATTTGGCTGTACGGCTACGGCATGTCTGGTATCCGTTGCTAGTGTTGATATGTTATGACCATTGCTGATGACCAAGACTCTTCAACATAAGTTCCCTCCGGATTTAAGACCAAATGACACAAAACGGGCGTTCGCCGCGGCAAGATGCTGGTGGACCATGAGGGGCGTCAGCGACAGTCTGTGGCGGGCTTGGATGACAGCTAGGCTGAGAGACATACCCTTTTTCGTACATATGCTCGTCTGTGAGAACCGCTAGGAGGCTAGTAGTCGTTATGGCTACATAGTGCAACCGCTCAGATGGACTCTTGAGGAAATTACTCTGGTTCAACTTGAAACTTGGCATGATACCCTAGGCCTAGTAGGAATCATTTGAGCAACTTTAGCTGGTCCCTTTAAATTTCCTTTGCTGAACTAAGAAGCTCATTCTTTCATTTGTGTTTCATCGACAGGCCGTTTGACGTGATGTCTTGCTTCGCTGGCCCAGAGCACATTGAATTGGGGTCGTTGTGGTTGGAATGACTTGACCCAGTGGTAGCGAGTGGCTCGCCAAGTTTCCCTCTCTTTCCTTGTCCATGGCACTGGAGCAAACGAGCCGCGTGGCGTGGCTGAAAGACATGACGCTCCTCAGAACATCCTTGATGTGCCCGCCAAAGTGACATGTGGGCGATGATAGGTGGTTGACAACTGAGTGTCTCAAAGGCAAGCTGATGAGTGTGGGCCACATTTCAGCATCGGTTGGGTCCTTGAATAAGCTGGATGATGCTAAACGGGGTTTTCTTCGTCTCTTTGACTCCACAGTGAATAAAGCAGCGCAACTCGCAAGTTGCCGCAAAGACGACGAGCTACAGAATACAATATCCTTGATACCGTTTTCCCCCTTCCGGATTCGCTGAACCGAAACAGAGCTTTGGCATGCGAGCACTCTCATTGCGGTGAGACTAAAGAAAGGTCTGAGACAACCTGGATGTTTCTTCGCGTGGCAAGCATGCTTCAAGGTAACTTGATGTATTCAGCTGCAGAGCATAAATTCAACGTCAACTGGAGCCTAGGTTTGAGATGCAGCGCGCCTCACTACCTCTGCAAACCAGGCGGCTTCAATGGAAATTCTGTGGCGCATGGGTTCTCAGGGCCCTACCGTCAATCCCTGAATCACTCCAGAGCCGCCTCCATTATTGCCAAAATGAACAACGTTACCTCTCAGTTCTAACTTAAGCCATTCCAGGGAGACGAATTGACTTTCTTCACTGGCTCGTGCGTGCCCGTTCATCCCATTTTGTGCAATTTAAGCGGTTTCTTATAACAAAGCCACAATGGATGGGTTCAAGCTGTTGACGCAGGTGCTTGATCAAGCAGACACCCATGCGGCTAACCGCTCATGCTCCTGGGTTCTAGTCCTTGGGGCTTGTGTAAAGATGCGCAGACAGAACAATGAAAGCCACCGTCATTTTAGACGGTATCCCATACTGGCAGGGCTGATATGAGAAGGGCGAGGCGGTACTCCGTAATCCACATCGCCATTTTGTCCCCTGCCAAGTTATTCCCCGAGACCCCGGGCTACTATGTTGATCAACGGAGCGTATGCCCAATGACTGGCGGGTGATAAAAACGCAGAGGATGTAAATCGAGAGCGCGAGATAAGGAGACATGGATAAGATTTCCTAGCGAGAAAAGTCCATGCGAAACAGGATCTGTGCGTTTAACGCTGTTGTCAAAGGCTATTATCGCCAATGCCTTTCGTTTCAGGGCTGCGACACCCGCGCTTGATTCTGTGTCTCTGGATTCTGGAGTTGCCAGGACCGTTGCTCAGGGCTGGCCTCGTTGGCCCCAACGCCGCCACCTGATTGGAAGTGTGGAAACCTGAATGGCGTAAAGTCTAAGCCAATTTAGGGCTGCCACTAAGCTAGGTGCTTTTTGTCGATCTTGGTGATCGGCCGGGCCTTCCAGGACCGCCAGTGCTCCAGAGATAGTGTTGAAGCCTAGCTGTCAATCGTCAGCGCTTGTCGAATCGGCAGCAGACGGCTAAGTGCCACATCTGCCCATCAGAGTGGGTCTGGTGGCCGTCGAGGCAACTCGAGAAGCCCTGTCAAAGTTCTAGCTCGGCTGATGGAATGACTAGCTGACATCGGGAGGAACAGGTACGATACAAATCATTCGGATTTTAAGCCCGCGTTTTCCGTCGACAGAGCACAGCAAAGCACTGCCGCACACACAGTACGTATCTGTTTGGGCATGTATGTATATGGCTGGGGCGTGTCAGTCCGTGCCCTCTTAGTCCCTGAACATGTACTGTACGGTAGTGGGAGCGATGGCGATGACAGCCACTGTTTCCCTGCTTTCAAGTGGTGGGAGCCCTGTAATACGACCGTCATTGATGTCCCAGTGACATCGTCTCATCCCGGCTGTAGCGCGGCAGCACCGAAGGGGCAAGAAGCGTGTTGTTCATGGAAAAGCGCAGTGACTGGGGTTGTGGATGAATGATGCTGCCCTGACACTTCGTTGCGAAGTCAATCTGGCCTGAGAAAAGTCAAATTCTTGACTATCAGGTTATGCAGCGCTTGAAATACGAACACCTTTCGCATAATGGTACGGATGAAGCCCCTGGCAGCGGTGGTGGTGATGATGATGACGAAGACTGACGAGAAAGAGCTGAAACCCTCGTCGGAAAGAATAGAATAGCAAAGTGCTTTGATCTCTGTTCTCGGACGACCAAGGTCCAGAACGTTTACTAAACATGAGGGTTTTGAGTTTGCCCCTTGATCTTCGCCCCGAAAGAAGAGTCCAAGGGCCAAGCAAGCTGCTGATTGGACTGGGGCGGGCGGGTAGGAGCGGTGCTGATGGTGTTGAAGATCCAGGTGAGTGAGTGCTCTGTTGAAGATCTGATTGCCGAAAGGCCCAAGTGACATGCTCATCGGCCGCAGGGAGAGATCCAGTTAACCTTAGCGGAGAAAAGTCGAGACATTGTCGGCTGGGGTGTTCCGGGCCACTAACACACAGAGCATCTGTCCTCCATACTGTATGGTGCATATACGGCACAGTGGAGCGTTATTGAGGGGCTAAAAGTACAGTAATTTGTTTTCTGGTGGGTATGAGAGAGGGCGAGAGTGATAGAGCTCGGTAGAGCTTGGTGAGATGACTAGAGTGACAAGAGCTTTTCTCGATTTATTAGCAGGGGTTCAGGGCCCAAGGTAGGAGACATTGCGTCCGTAGGTACCTACCTAGGTACTAATCTAGACGTACCTTACCTAGGTAGGTAGTGCCTTAGGCACCTAGGTAGGTACATAGTCAAATTGGGATTGAACGGCAGAATGCAAGCGATAGGTACCTTACCTACTAGGCACCTATGTTTCTCGCTTCTGCTTTCCCGCAAAGGTATGGATGCTTAGATGCACCTGCTGTAAGGTACCTAATCAAGACACAAGATATGTTCCATCGGGAAGGTGCCTTTAGGTGTGGCTGATACGCAAGGGATGTACTCCGTAGAAGCTATCTCTCTATCCGCGCCACATCGAAGCAGGAACGAGCAGCCTCTTTATTCCCTTTGTTTTTTTTAACGGAGTCTTGGTGTTAAGGTTAAAGAAGCCGAAACATTTACCGATACCTCAATAACAAGGCACACCTCTAGTAGTATTACTTGTCAAGGTTCTTTTGACCTAGGTGAGTACCAGGCTACTAAGGCATGCCGTCGCATTCATTTTGCGTCTTTTGCTTCAACTCTCAACAGTATAATTAAGGCAGTTACGTCTCGGTCTCGTCTTGGTCGCGTCTTCGCTTTTTGCAATCCTGACTCATCAGAACCTTTGTCGGGCTATTGTAAGCCTCTCGGCCTTCGGACAGTTTAGATTTCCGACGTTTGGTCTGTCAAACGGCAAACCACATCAAAGCTTGACGACGTGAATATGTCTGTAATACGTTTCTCCATCGTGAAAACCGTCGTGATTGAGCCTTCATACGCATTCTGTTACTCGTCGGGATAACATGATAATTGCTATTTCGACTGCTTCTCACCCTGTACCATATTTGACAAGGCTCTTGAGCCCCATCTTCAACCTTTATCCACCACGCGCGACACTCTACAGCGACAGCAAACTTGGGATCTGGGGTGGAATAATCGGAACTATCATTCATTGAATGACTATACTCTTTCATCAAGATGCCGCCTGACACAAGCGAGCCCGATCCTTCCGGCCAAACTGAGTCGGCAAAGACTGAGCCTTTAGCATGCGTTTCCTGCAGAGCCCGCAAGTTGAAATGCGATCGCACGAAACCCGCGTGCACTCGCTGTGTCAAGGTCTCAAATGAGTGTGTATATCCAGAATCACGGAGGAAGCCCAACTTCAAGAGAAGAAATGTCAAGGAACTCGAGGCTCGCCTGGGTAAGTATCTCGACAACCAACACTTATAGTTATACTGTAACCATGAATGACGAGTTGCTAATGATGTATCTCAGCTCAAGTTGAAGATTATCTCAAGGAGGTCAACAAGAATTCTTCAGAGGAGAAAACAGATGATGGGAGTCCTACTCAGCCACCCCAGGCGAACGTTAACTTCTTTGACATGGACTTTACCCCTGGACTAGGTCAGACAATTAACAGTCTGCCTGATCCCGATTTTTCGTCTTTCACATCGCCCAACATCGTCCAAAACCCACAACCAAGTCCCCAGTCTCTCAATGCGCAGTTGATGAGTCTAGGTATGACCGAACCCTTGCCGCCGGACGATGTCACGGAAGAACTGTAAGAACGGTCGGTATTTGGACTTCCAAGATGGGCGCTGACCTTCACAGCAACAACATCTTCTTTCATAACCAATATCGGATGATACCAATTATCCACCCGGGAAAATATCTCCAATCTTTTTATGGTCCTCTACTCAGAAGACCCCCTATGTGTCTGCGCTATGCCATATGGGCTTTGGCAGCCACTGGCAGTACCAAGTTTGACGAGTACCACGATGTCTTTTACCGTCGATCACGGGCGTACATTGAGGCAGACATGATGAAGGTGAGCGATTTGAGAGTGCCTGGCAGGTCAATGTTGACAAGCTCAGGGACACGGGGATGCTTTCATATCTGTCCAACACGCGCAGACATGGGCCCTCATAGCCTTTTACGAGGCAAAACACCTGCTTTTCACGAGGTCGACCATAAGTGTAGCTAACTCCGTACGACTGTGCCACATGATAGGACTTGACCGTCTCGATGGGGATCCCCTTGGCATGCCACCGGCACTGGGACCTCCTCTTACATGGGCTGAACTGGAAGAGCGAAGGAGAATCTTTTGGGGGGTGTTTGCTGCAGATGCACATTGCAGTATATCTACAGGATGGCCGAGCCTGATTAACTCGGAAGACGTATGGCACACTCTCCCCGTTTCCTGAGCAATGCTGACCACGACTTAGATCGCGACAAGGCTTCCTGCCTCAGAAGAAGCATTTGTCGAAGATCGCAAAGAGGACGCTCCTTTTCTGGATGAGGCAATCCAAGGTGCTCAGTACACAGGGTTTGCTGGAACCATCCTTACTTGTGAAATATTCAAAATCATTCTCCGTCATGTTCACCGATCCAAGCCCGACTCAAGAAACGAAGATCTAATGCATGGGCCATTCTGGACTCGACACCGCGATCTAGACAACACCTTATCCAGCCTTTTTATGTTTCTCCCCGAGAAATTCCGCCTCCCTGAGAATGTGCGAGATGTATCAGCACTCCATCTGAACCTCAATCTTCACGCCGCGATTATATGTCTGCACCACGCTGCCGTTGAAAAAGCGGACAAATACAACCTTCCCGATCATGTCAAACAGGGCAGCGTTACTCGCCTGCGAGCGGCTGCCGAGGAGATTGTCAATATCATGCGACTGACCGCCAACGGCACTCTGTTCTTTGTATGTTCATTCTGATTGTTTCTTATCTCGGCTAACCACTGTATAGAAGAGTCCATTGTCCGCTCTCTCGCTATACTGTACCACTACGGTTTACGTGTACCTAGGCAAAGAGGACCCGGTCAACGGCTTGAGCACAATTGACCTGTCAAATTTCCAGCTCATAATTCAATCTATGGAAGCTATCGCACGTGTACATACCATCACACGAACGTTCTTACAGCAGGCATGCCTCGACATCGAAAAGAACGGACTCGGCTCTGTTATTCAAGTACCATCATTGAGGAAATATCGAAACGCTTTTGGACCAAGCAGGTCGCGCATCCCCATGCTTGCCCGAAGCTCGGTTGCGGAGCATACTGGGGCATCGCCTATCTTATTTGCTTCCAATTTCACCCAAGAGAAACGGATGGATGCTGAAGAGTCAAGACTGGACAAGGTGGCCAGCGCCATGTCGCTGGGAAAGACGTGTTATTCAGCTGTGCTTGGGGCCGCTGCTAGAAATGTCGAGCCTGCGGATCGACCAGATCCGGAAACCAACAAACGAAAGAGAACGAAAGAAAGTCCTGGGCCTGAAGTTATGGCCAATATGCGAAGCAGAGATCCTCTCAACTTGAATTTGAATCCCAACTTCAGAGGAACGGGTATGTGGCCAGCATCATTTTCGCCCCGCATGGCCTCAGGTGCTATTTCGCTACCGGATCGAACAAATTCATCAGCCGCATCTTCGCCAGCTAACCAAGGTTCCTACACGAAGACGGTCTCCGGGAGTAGTCATACCTCACCTGATATCGGCCTCGGGAACAGCGCAGAGGAAAATCGAGTCGATCTGAGAGCGTTCCAGGAGCGTATCTCTACACCGATATGGCAGTCTACCGAAGAAACACTGTTTGCACAGATGGCAGCAAATACTATTCCCCTCGGTGATGGCGATCCTTGGGGGATATTGAATGCTGTCGACCTCAGCTGGGATGTCGAAGGACTTCCAGCAGGAAGTTGACAAGGATGGATGGATTTGGATTGAGGTTATGTGTATTACTAGGATGCGACTAGAGTTTTAGTCCTTCATTTAGGGGACGTTGATGTGCTGAACGAAGGGGAACTTGTACGATATATACCCATGATTGTTGGAGATGACGACACACAACTCTTGTACTCGTTTTGGGACCAATTAGAGGACATAAATAAACCAAGGGCCTCTTCAAATGACCAAGATACTTATGGAATACTCATAACCTGAACTCTATTCTTCGAGGTTCAAATATGGTCAGGCATTGGTGACCCCCGTCTTATCCGAAGCTTTTAGCCCTTGTAGTTTTGCTCCACCCATCTTGAGCTCAACCGTCCGCCCCCCTTCAACTCTCATCCTCCTTTAGACTATCAGCCATTGACTGCTTATGAGTCGCCCTCAGCCATGTTTCAATACGTGATTGGGCTCCTGGCTATTATTCTAGTGTTCTCAAACCCCATCAGTGACTTCTTGTATCCAGACCGGGTCACCCACATCAACGATGTATCACCGCGCCCTAGGTTGAATGAGTCGCTCCTAGCTATTGATCCGCCCAATGCGACGGCGCCTGAATGTGCTCCAGATGGTTACGTTGCTAGAATCGTGAGCAGAGAGCCTCTGGTGATTTATCTTGAGGATTTCTTGAATGGGGAAGAGAGGAAGCATTTGCTTGATATAAGGTGCCTAGTCATGTCCCGGTATCGTGTCATGATATGTATGATATGATGCTAATATTCAATAGCGAACCGATCTTTGTACCTTCAACCATAACCAACAATGGCGAGGCCACCCATCGCGACTCTTCAGTCCGCGACTCTCGCGTTGCGGTCATTCCCAGAACTGACCCTGTCCGCTGCATTGAGTCGCGTGCCCGCGCTCTTCAAGGCTGGCGTCCCGATCTCTGGATCGAGCGCCTGAGGACTCAACGGTACGATCCCGGTGGTCACTACAACCATCACTTCGACTGGAGCTCTAGCACGCGCGGATGGGGCCGTGTGAGCAGTCTCATGGTATGGGTCGAGGGTTCTGATAGCCTTGAAGGCGGCGGCACCGAGTTTCCCCTTATCAAGAGGCCAGCGGAGACGGAATGGTGTCGGTTCATCGAGTGTCCTGACGATGCGGAGGAACATAGAGGCATGGGTGTGACATTCAAGGTTGTGCCGGGGAATGCAGTCTACTGGGAGAACTTTGCGGCGGATGGTAGGGGGTACGAAGAGACATGGCATGCTGGGCTGCCCGTTCAGCAGGGAACCAAGACAGGGTTGAACATCTGGAGTTTTGGACGAATCTAAGGGAGTTCGTGTTCATGTTCACTAACTACAAAATGTGTGACGGGCTGAGAGATTGGAGCCGTCAATTGTGCATAAGAGTCGAAACATACTGAGATCGATACCGTCTCTGTCTTGACTCACTCCCATCTTCTCTCGCACTGCCCCATCCATCTCCCCCAGACAACTATCTTACCGTGAATGGCTTCTGCGACTTGATCCCTGTTCGGTTTGGAGATCTTGAACTGCTCGTCCAAGGGCTCATTTAAACCAATTACTTCATACCAGTCTTGCATCATGTTAATTCATGTATTTACACCTGAGCCACGCAGGTATACTCACATCGATGAATGCCATGATTCAGAAGTGGCCGAGGAGCAATATAAACCGAGCCGTTGCGACTCGCGCCATAGTAGAAGCCTCCCGCGAGTCGATTTGAACTCTTTTCAACAGGCTCAAAGTCACTCCCGACAACTCTTGTTTTCTCAGAGGGTATTCCCAAGTAGATTCTACAACAATGAGTCTCATTCCTCCAAATCAAAATGTCAACTCACCCATGACAAATCGGCGTTGGCAGGGGAGCATCTGGGTCTTCAGACACAATTAACCACTCTCTTACACCAGAGTGAGAGTCCCAGGATAACTCTGGAAACTTGTGCTGACCGCCGTGCATGTAGTCTTTCCCCAATGTTGCACCATCTGGGCCACAGTCTGGAGACGTGACAGCAAGTGTAGGGTCTGGATGCTCAGCAAAGGCGGGAGTGGTGAAGAAAGCTTTCGCATCTCTGCCCTTGGAGTTTTTGAAGAGCCAAGAAGCTGCAAGCTCGATATAAGCAGTCATTCTGTACCGGTTGACGTGTATTGGTTTCAGGGGCAGTGTTTACTGTAGCGCGCCATCAACAGCAGACTGAAGTCTTGGGGCCGAAAGCGTGAGCTTACTCGGATAAGGGACAGTCGAAATATATATATATATATATATGATGTATACATCGGGTGTGACTAATCTCCGTAGTGTAACTTTGTATGCCATGCTATGTATATCAGTGAAGAGTGGTAAAATGCTACCTTTCGGAGCCGAATCGGCAAACGAAGATCAGATCACTGCCATCGCTTAGTTACATGTAGGATGGGTTCGATCGAAAGGCAATTTATTCAAAAGTCAATAGAACATTATTTCTCTTAACGCGTTTCTACCTCGACCCAATACTCCTTAAATGTGGCCCAACAGAATAACCCATGTAACACCAGAACATCCATCATGCCAAATCAGACGCTAAATCATGATGCCTCACTGTAGATGCCTTCATAAACCAAATCATGCACATCGTTAACACCACGTTAAATGAGCATCCATGCAAACCCGAGGGCAAAGGCCCCAGCAACCATAGAAATAGCTGCGTCGCCTCCTAATGGTGAAAGTGACGCAGCGGCATTTTCCTTGTTATCAGAAGAACCACTGCCAGTGGCAGTAGGAACAGCATTCTTTCCGGTACCGATCTCGAGGATATGCGATTTTGTAGCGTTAAAGTTGCTCTGTGCTGGTGAGATCTCGTTATTGTCAAGATCGAAAACAACATAGGCGCTTCTGAGAAACGTGTCACCCAAGATAGAAATGTCTCCTGTGGTGGGTGCTATCCCAAAGGTACAGGCTGCTTGGCCATTATCGAAGGATAGTTGACGCCCTGTCACGTCGGTGAAGTCGAGAACCAGCTCACTCAATGGCACCGAGATCTCTGCTGGGTCTTTGAACTTGAACGTCAAGTTTCCGGACTCGTTTCCAAGATCGCAGGGAACGTATGCCACAGACTGGCCCTCCTCGTACTGGGCGCCAACGATGTCGTATATGTCTGATGTAAGTGTGGCGGGGAGATATGACAGTGTTGAGCCAGAGTCGAGGATAACAGCGAGGTCGAGGTTGTCAACGATGGTTTCTGAGTCTGCGCTGACGCTCTGTAGTGTGATGGAGAACTCGGCAAACTCGCCATTCATCTTGTTGATAGAGAGAGTGACCAGATCGCCGGTGTACTGCTCCTGGTCCACGCCTCCAAACAGGATGGTTCCAGTGGCAGATTCGAGGTCGTTCAGATACAAGCTGTAAGCATTAGAAGCGATGAGGCCCTTGGAAGCCAACTTGGCCGGCAAGTTATCGTAGGCGTCTCGGTTGAGTTGGCCGACCTGAGCCTCATTGCTCTTGTATCCAATACCAAGGACGCCTTCGTTGTCAGATGTAACATATCCGATACCAAACTGTAAATCCTCAAGCTTCACACTACCCATGCGGAATGTCTCGGTAGCATAGTCTCCGGAAGCACCAGAGCCATCGGCATATGAGATGTTGAAGTCGCTGTTCAAGTACTCATAAGTGGACGACTTGTTGGGGCTATATAGGCCAGATTCGCTGCATATATTTGCGTGAGTAGAACATAGTTTTGAGCCTTCGGCATTGACCCATAGATCACTGCTTCCAGTGTCGAGATGGAGACGGAAATCTTGAGGTGGCGTTCCCAATGATGCATTGAGGAAGTATAGAGATTGCTAGAGAATGTCAATGGTTGCGTCTCTGTGTTTCTGTGGCAGATGCTTACTTCATTGTCAATACCAATGTCTATTGTCCGGTCTCGCTTGCGAAGACGTCTTCGATCACTGGAAATAGGATCAGGTATTGTCCGCCTCTGGATCTCGACGCTCATAACACGAGGCTCGAGGCCATTGTCTCTCCTGTTGAGAGAAATTCCTTGGGTGAGTGGCAGCAAAGACAAAAGCAAGGAGGATAGTTGAGTAGACTTCATGGTTGAAACCTTGCAAGTTGATCTGATCTGTCGAGCTCACCCATCAACTGAGGGTATTGATCCCTGTGTTTATATCCTGGCCCCGATGTACAGACGGATACTCCGCCCCGACTCGAGTTAGACTACGCCCACAAGGCGAACTCGGCAGACTGACTAGTATGTTGCAGTGCCGATATTTGGTCATAGATAGTCGATGTTACTAAGGATCTTGCCGCACATCCGCGCGGGAGTACTAAACTCTCGCCGATGTGCCAACGTCACCTTGGAAAGCAAACGTCAGAGCACCACCTTTCGGCACGGAAACGCCGAAGTAAGTAGCGAGGAACGACCCGAGGAGAGAGAGAGCAATGAAAAGATACATGTCCGAAATCTGTAACACTCATTCGTTGTGACATTTGCATGCATTTTGTATAACACTTCCAAAATCCAGTCATGCCATTTACCCCCTTCATCGATCTAAGCTGTAACAGAATCATCTTTAGGCGCCGCACGAACCAGTGGAGTTTGCATATTCGAAACGCCTCGAAACCGTCAGGATGCCTCTCATCCCATCTTATCCCATCTCATCTCATCGGGCCTAACTCAGAATCACCCCCAACTCGAGTTGATGCTGAGGCGTCAATAAGGAGACGCGCGGCCGGTAGAAACCTTCATTAGAGATTGCTCGGGAGATAGAGCGGACACGTAAAAGGCGGAAGATCCGGGGGATTGGACACCGGTAGTATTCGCATACCAGTAATACCTAACCTAGGTACCTTAGTAGGTTAGTACTAAGTTAGTGGGTAGTACCCATCCTACTAACTGCAGAGTCAATCTGCTGCTCCCTATTCCGTAGACTGAGTAAGACTGTAAGTATATTTATTATCCGTTGGAGCCTTATTTGTAAGCCTCTCTATGAAACGTTTACATGGGCGTCTGACTGGCGCATGTTTTATGACGTGCAAGGCGTTGGTCCCTGCAGCGCTTAACCACGGCCGTGGCTTTCTTTCTCTGAGGCCTCGTGTTACAGAGTCTTTCTTGAAAGAGAAATCTATTCGATTCTAGTTGAGGTCATTCAGGAAGGGTCGCTAGGTAGTCAGTTGACATTGCATGCATGAGAGTCTGATGGCGATGCTTACGACAACTTAAAGTGGCTCAAGGTGCCGAACTTCCGACTGACAACGGAGGCTACTCACTTAGGTACATGTACTTTGGTAGATAGACAAAGTTAGGAACTTGGTAGTAATCAGAATAGAGCCAAGTTGGTTGGTTGGTTGGCATGACGTCTTATTCTCGTTTCACATTCCTTTAAATAGATGTTTTCCCACTCGAAACTGCCAAGATTCCGTCCCTCTAGAGTCATTGGCTCTCCAATTTCTCTTTCTCCAGTCATCATGGATGTTTAGGGTAGACAATGGTTCCATATAATCCATACGAATATTCGAATCAATCCTGCTCTAAATAAACACCAAGATTCAAATATCACGAGAAGCATGTTTCCCATTTTGTGGTTATTTCCCATCCCATACTATTACTCTCGGTTCAAGTTTTACGCCGTTTCTCATTGTATCATGCAGTGACATCTCGAGTTTCACAACCCCCCCAGGTTGAACTCAACGTCCGCTTTCAGACGGACAGGACATTCATGTCAATTACCCCTTAGCCATTGTGCTGCATGTATGGGCACAGAGGGCCATGTCTTTAGTTAATACATCGATGAACCGCGCTAGTGGCCTCTCCCCGGATACGCATCTTATCTTGGATGCTCGCCATCAACCACTTATAACACTGCGTATTCTTCTGCCTACCAAGCCACGTAATGATGCAATTCGACATCACCAACACAAACCGTGCAAGTCATCCATTTTTAGTTGCCTAGCAAAGCGCTGCCAAGATTGATAGTCTTGTCTCTGTGCGGCTGAGATCAATCCTTTTGAGGGGGCTGTATGCTGCCATGGAAGTGATGTTGTCTGCAGGCTTACATGTCCTGGACCAAATGTGCAGCCTGGTATGAGTATATATATATACACATATGTCTTGCTTACCACAAACTTCTGACCATCCGTACCCGTGATAACACCTTTTAATTCCAACCGAAAAATCCACAGTAACTAAACAACGTCAAAATGGATGCCGAATTGCTTGCCAACATGGACCGATGGTACAACCTCCCTCTTAATCTCTTAATCACCGAGACTCAACTGACATGATATTTCTCAGTCCCATGTACGCCGTATGTAGCCCTTTACCAAAGAATAACCCACTTCTAATCACATAACCGATGGCCAGTCCTTCTTTGGCGCAATAGGTTGCGCGTGTTCCATCGTCTTCACAACATTCGGCGCAGCATACGGCACCGCAAAGTCCGCCGGCGCAATCTTCCAATCTGGCATCCTCCGACCCGACATGATGATGCAAAACACGTACGATGAGATGAACTCAATGTTGGTAAAACTGTGGCTGACACACTTAGCTTGTGCGCCATCATGGCCCAGATCCTGTCTATCTACGGTCTCGTAGCAAGCGTCATCATGTCAAACAACATCAAGGAGAAGATGGCTATCCACACGGCCTTCTTGCAGCTCGGTGCCGGCATTTCCGTAGGGCTGTGCGGCATGGCTGCTGGCTTTGCTATTGGCATTGTTGGTGATGCTGGAGGTATGTTCACTCATGGACTAAAAGGCAGCAAACTTGACAATCCGTGACAAATGTCTAACAACCCCCAGTTCGTGCAAGTTCGCAGCAACCGCGTCTCTATATCGGAATGGTCCTCATCCTCATCTTTGCCGAGGTCCTAGGCTTATACGGTGTCATTGTGTCCATCCTTATATTGACTCGTTCCACCGATGGTGTAACCGAATGCAGGTATTGAGACATACAAACTAGGGCGCGATTGCTCGGTTCCATATTGGACCATAGGTTTCAGATTAAGGCTGCCGTCAATTGTACTGAATAAATGTTGCGGGGGTATATGCAGATCTAAGATAATGATAAGGCAGCCACAAGCACAAAGCCTCTGTTCCCGCCCTCCTCTTGTTACAACGCCCATTCGTTGACGTTGTCGTTATGCGTAATGAAAGGCTCATCAATCCTCTTGATTGCAAGGTCACTGCAAAGAATACTGTAGGATGTTAGCTGTGAAACTACAGGAGGAAACACCAACATACCAAGCAGAAGCGACAAGAGCATCCAGCTCCGCCACAACAGTCTCCCTCTGAGTGCCACTGACCAAACCCTTCTGTATCTGGGTCTGAAGTTCCCTGATACGTGTAGACTTTCCAACGCCCGCCTGCTCCAGCACCTTGCGTCCCAAGCAGTCAGAATGGAACGAATGCTGACAGGGGAACACAAAGAACTGCCTGCTCAACAGCGGTAGCCCGCACGTATAACACTTCTCTCCAGGTTCCACGATTGCGTATCGGTGATCGAGCGCAGCAATGTCAACCTTGATATTTGTTGCAGTCTGCGACGACTCGTCCATCTCTTTCTTCAAGTTATCGATATTACGGCTGTAATCTTCCAGCGCGGCGCAAATCTCCTCTTTGAAGTCATCGATAACAACAAAGTCGGGGAAGAAAGGAATGAGATCCTCGATCTTGAGCAAGTCGCACCGCTTGAGAAATTCAATGGCGGCCTTGATTCCATTCGATTGAGAAATGACTTTTCGGGCCACCGCAAGCCACAGCCGTTTGCGCAGTTGCGGACTCGACATGGGCCGATCTGCAATAACTGCTGCCAGCTCAACTTCGCCATGAGAAAGCGCCAAGTCGACTGCTTGAAGATACTGCCCCATGCTGGTGTAGATATGAACGCAAGACAATGTTCGATGGTGTTGAATGCAAAGTCGAAGGGCGAAATCTGGGTCGTAACGCGGCTCATCACCTTGTGCTTGTAGGTAGGACAAAAGTCCAGATTCATCCTTGGAGGAGTGGGAAGCGTAAATCGAGACGAGAGTGTTGTGCACAGCAGCATCTTTCGAGTTCAGCTGATAAACCGCATAGTTGAGGTATCTGATGGCTTGGTTCTGTGCATTGGGACCTCCCGAGAATGTACGGTTGTACTCAAGAAAGGCTGGTATGAGATTTCGAGGCTTCAGGTCAGCATGCCTCATCAAAATCTCAACTAACTCTGGTGCGACATATGTCATAAGCACGCTGCTATATCGGTAAAAGACTTCAGGATCCGTCTGTTTCTTGAGAACATTCAGTACCTCATTCCACCTCTCTCGCTGTACCCAGTACGAAAGAACGTAGTTGTAGTCGTTAACCGCATTGGCAAAGTATAGGAGTTCTCCCTCACGGCCGTGGCTGCTGATGACATCGTAGACCATTTTCCGGTCGAGGTCGTTTTTATACTTGTCGACAAAATCTCTAAATTCTTTCCTCACAGACTCGAGTAGCTTGCGTGATTCAGTCGAGTTGAGGTGCTCCGACGGCTCAGCTTGTGTGTTTATCGTATCATCCAGCGTGTTGAGTTTGGACATAAAGACCTCGATCAACCATCCCGCGATCATCATCCGCTGCATCACTGCAGATTTCTTGAGCGAAACTAATTTCGTCAGTAAGAACTTTCTCAAGGCATCTGGTTGATTATTGTCGATTATGCTCAGTGCAATATCTTCAAAAGGCTTATTGCTGCGGCCATAGACAGTAGCAGCCTCGAGCCAGTGTCCATTCTTGGCCAAGTGATCACCGTACGCAGCCGCGACTATTTCCTTTTGAAGTGGTGTTCGAGCGTGTTGCAGAGCTGGCTCAAACTCTTTCAGTTTTGTCATAATCTCCCAGATGTTGCGCTCCTCATCTCGAACCACAATCTCGAATATCTCGTCTGATGTAAATAGCCAAAATGTGTTCTTTTGGATATCCACGGAGAACCCGAGAGGCTTCTGTCCCTGACCGATAACATCATGCTCAGACACCATCTTTCCCGTGAGGCGATTCGTTGTGATGACACGACCTCCAACCAGGTGGACAATATGCCATTGTGTGAGTGCGATTGCATCAATTGCCTCGGTTGTCGGGACTCGTCTTTCGCTGTTCTCAGGGGAAAGGATCTGAGCTCTAGAGAGCATATGTGATTCTGAAAAGACCTTGGTCCCGAGGTTGCTGTCTGCAGGCTGGTTCAATAGTTTACCGTGGAACACGCCTTGGTACGAAAGCCACGCATATGCTCTTTCAGGAATGTCGTCATCGTATGGTCCGGAATCCGGGGGGTCTGGGGACACCGCTAAGCTCGAAGGTGCTCCTGAGGTCGTCCGGGACAGTTCGTGAACAACAGGCTGTTCTGACTCGAACAATCGGGTGTATACAGACCCTGAACCATCATGCCCAAAACCTATCCTTCCGACTAGGTGAAACAAGCGTGTCTGAGTAGCTATCACAACCCGCCGAAGGTCTGATTTGTTATTCTGAAGATTGTCCACCCACAATCCCGTGATTGGTCCGTCAGGAAGCTTGTGTAGATTCTTTAAGTGCTTCACCTCCTTCTTGTAAAACTCCTTTGACGTCTCAATGAAGGCTTCATAAATGTTGCCATCTGATGCACCAATCAATATCTCGCGTGTCGACGCTGTCGGTAACGAAGGGTTCCATGCCACGCTCTCGATCGAAACTCCTCGCAGACGCCCAAGTGGCCGAGGATGTTTTGACTGGGAGTGGAGGTAATAATTCTCGCCAAGCGCAGTGCAAACAATTAGATGTGAAGCTGTAGGGTCGAGGAACATGCGCCGTATCATGCCAATCTCGGATGGCTTTTTGGGAAGATCGATATCTATACATTGCGAAATCAGTCACCATGACTAGCTGCATGATACATCACTCAACTGCTCACCGTCAATATCCTCGGGCCGTTCCAGGTCAATACGGAGAATGCGTCCATTGGAAAGGGCGAGTACGATGACGTTGTTAGCAACCTGCGCAGCAACAAAATCAGCCGCTACCGAGAACTGTAGCTGAACGCGCTCTATGGTGAAAATAGATTCTTCGAGATCTGGGACGCCATTGGCGGCAACGAAGCCATCTTGGAGATCCAGGGCCATATTGTCGCGGTCTCACAGGCTCATATTCGGCGGTCGGGGGCGTAGAGGGTGGCTATGCGTCTTGAACACTGCTACGGAGTAGACGTCTGATTTGAACTCGACAAACAGGGGCTGTGGAGGTTGGGTCGGTTCACTGGTGCTGGTTGATGATGGGAATGAATGAGAGTTGGCGTTGACGGTGACGAAGTCGGTGGTTGGACAGCTCCGGGTCCCCACCTGGGGCCGGATAGGCATCTCACCTAGGTATCTCCTGTTGGGGGCTAAGGCCGCTATTTAGCTCCAAGCTCCTAGCAAAACACCCACCCCAAATATCCCATTACATCACCACGCTTTTGCTATTGGATTGGCATCGCCTGGGTTGTAACGATACAGTTTTAATGGAATGCTCGATGAATCAGAGGCAGTAAAAGTTTTGACTCTAAAAGATTCTATTGTCAGTGCACTGGTACACATGTTCTCCCTATGTCTGTCTAACCAATCCAAGTGTCTTTTACATAACTCGTCATGCCTATAGCTCTCAATAACTATCAGACGAACAAGTCTTGGGTACACCAGAGCGCCGTCCATGAGTGTCTTCAAAGGATAACCAACCCCTAGATCGAATGATGAAGAATGTACAAATAAATGTTTAGAAGAATGGGTGGAAAAAAAGTCGTTATCCGTTTACAACGCCGGCCCAAAACAAAAGTATGCGCCAAACCCCATCACACACAAAGCAAAGCCACTGAGCCGCCCAAGAATTAAGCTTCTTCGTGCCCTCGCCATAACCGGAATTGGCATCACCGCCTCAGCTTAGACCTGCAGTTGTTTGGTCATCTGGACGGAGCGTAGGATCAGGACTGTCACCATTCAATTCTGTTACTGGCGAGTAACTCCTCCCCAGAAATTCTGCAAGATCTGTGGGTGGCGCATCGAGAGGCTTTCTGCCAATGATGATGCGCATCTTGATCTGAAGGCCCTTCGACTTCTCGGGATCCTTGGCTGCGTTTGCCAAGTCTCGGGCAGCAGCTTCACAAGCCTGTTTGCACTTTTCAGGGTCCCAGTCCATGTACTCCGTCAACAAACGCAGGCAATATGCCTCGAAGCTGTCTAGACACGAAATAAGCCAGATCTTGCCAGCAGACGCCTCGGCAACGGTAATTGGAATAGAGTATTCCGTAACCCGCACGTCGACAAAGCCTGCCTCCATGAGCAGCCGTGGCTCGAGATGATGTATTCCTCGTGGGCGCCCCGACTTTTCCGAAGCAATCAAGAGGTCTCGAAGGAGTTCGTGCATGGCAGAGTTGTCAGGGAACTGTGACAAGAATTGTGCGAAGCCCTCAGCGCTCACAAAATCTTGAACCTCAATCCAACCACCAGGCTTGAGAGAAAAGAAGGTATTGTCGTAGACGAAGCTCCAGTTCCGAAATGCGCCCTCCATGAGCCGGAAGTGAATCAGGTCGTACATATCGGGGTGGCGATCCCAATCCTCGGCGTCTTCAATTTCGAAGAAGACGTTCATGGGCACGCTTTTAGTCTCGGCTATCGCAGCGATATCGGTTCCAACAACTTCACACTGGGGTTGCAACTCGGCCATTTTGATTGCCCATTCACCTGTTCCTGTGCCGATATCGAGGATATGCTCGGGGTTTTGGAGAGGGACAAGAGTGAGTTCACCGTCTAGGACGTGCATAAATACTTGGTGTTGAAGAGACATTCTCCATTGTTCGATGTCGTCGTTTGGCATATAATATTCGCGACAGTAGCGCCGGCCGTGGATTTCTCGGTAGTCAAGGTCTTGCGCCCACAACGATCGTGTCGATGCAGCCCTAGCATGTTGTTAGTCGTGGCAAGGAATGTAGCACAAGACGTCGCTTACATGTCTGAGTCTACCGCATAGGAATCTGGAGTGAATGGTGTCTCTACACGGTGTGAAGCAGAGACCCTTGGGTATTGAGAAGCGGGATATATGGAGATCATGTCGTCTTCGTCAACATCTTCATCGAGGTCGGAATCATCGTGGTGATGCTCCTCATCGGTACCCATGATACTGGTCATGGCTGTGTTATTTCCGTCGCTATTGGCATGCTCGCTCGGTGTACCGTCGCTGGATTGTCGGCCGCTCTGTACAGCGTACGAGTCCTCCGAGGACATTGTGCTCGTCTGAGACTGGTTGTGACGTCCCCGTGTACTTTTGCGTTGCTTGGTCCTTCGCTTTTTGGCCATGGGTGTCTAGAGAGAAGAAAAGAAGGAGAATGACAGCTAAGATAATTGAATGGATGCGATATTGGCTAACGGCATGGCTTGAGATCGGGAATGAGGCTGAAACGAGCGGCGCGGGCGACAAAGTTTGGGCCCAGGTGTGATTCGTTGTTGCTGTCGCGATGACGGGCAATGGTCCGAGGTTTGGTGGATGAGAGGTTGAGGCGAAGGAACCGGATTAGTTAGGTTCGGGTCTATTCGCGAGAGCGAGGTTGCAGTGTTTGTCTAAAAACCGTCCGTACGAGCCCGAGCGGCAGTAGCAGCCGTCAAAGCACAAACAAAGCAATTATGGATAAAAGACGAGATGTGTATTCGTGAAGTATCCGTAGAGTGGAGGAGGATCCAAGACTTCAAGAAAGAAGAAGACCTGGGGATTGGTAAAGGCCCGTGAGCACAGACCAAGAAACGTGGACAAGGGTCTGAGGGAACCGGAAGGGATCCGTAGAAAAAGGCAGACAAATTATATGGTCAGTTTACGAATAGTCTGAGGTTGGAAGAGGGAAGAGATAAGTTGACTGGTTGAGTCACCGATGGAGAGGAAAAGCCGGGGGAACACACTAGAGCCAGAGCTAGTAACTAGTACGGTCGTTGGGTTGAAAGACCAAACAAAACCAGGAACAAAAACAACTCGAGTATTCTCTTTCCCTGATGAATACAATGGACAGAACAGAACAAAAGTGGAGGAAGAGAGAGAGATCCAAGGATCGGGTGCAAGGGGGGGTTCTGCCTCTGGTGCTGCTTCTGAGAGACAAGGATATGCCGGTCGGTTGACAACGTTTGTGGTTAGTAGACGACAAGGCTCTTGGGGTTGACGGTGGTAGACGCTAGTTGTTTCCTGACGAGGGATTGGCTACCTTATTAGTGCGCAAGGTACGGAGTAGGTAGAGAAGAAGGTGCCATAGTTGAAGATGAAGTTGAGAAGTTGGAAGATTTGGATACGTATTATACCCAGTCAGTATACAATAGAGGAGGCAGCGATGAGGCGGGCTCGTTGTCCATTCATACCTTATACAGTGCAGCAATAATACAGCACTCACACTTCAACCTGCTTTCAGATCAAATCCAAATATACAAACGGACATGACAGCCGTAACCCCATGCTTTATGACCTTCTTGAGCTTGGCAATGCTGGCTGTTAACGGAAGGCCGTGGCAACCCTGTGAAGTATCTCCGTATCCCTAACTCAAAGAGAACATAAATCATGAAACGTTGTATCCCTCTGACGGCCGTTTTTCCATTACTGTCCGTTTATGCGATTCGACGGTCAAGGTGGAGGTTTATCCATTCCTCAGCTCCCGGCACTGTAAGCGTACCTGGCCCTTTAACCCGCCGCATATATCCTAAACACGGACTCCTCACTCCATGCATGTTTCTGCACCTGCTCTCGGATTGATGTTGCTCCGGTGAGCTTGGCTGCTTGGCTCTGCTTGTCAAACGGCCTCGGCTACCGGGGGGTTGGAAGAGGCAGGGCAGGCCTGGGCCCTAAGCCTCTGTGCACTATTGAAAGGTCCACGGTATACCTGCAGTAGGTACGGAGTACCTATGTGTGTAGGTAGGTGTTTCTCATCTGGTTGACATGGGCAGTATGTATGTAGTAGTATCTGTACGACCTCATCTCACAAGAAGGCGCGGGATTAGGTATTCTCATCAGTAGTGTCACCCCATGGAAGTACTCAGAAGCACCACGGCAAGTTCCAGTCCAATCTAGGCTCTTAGAAGCAATGAGCAACACAGAAACTTGCTCTCTTCGGGATGCTAAGAGTTCCCCCCTCAGGGAACCTGGCTCGTGGTCCATCATCCCACGGCAGTGGAGCAGTGCAACAGCAGGGGATGCACAGTTGGTTCAGGGTTCACAATCCAGACAAAGACTTAAACCTGATTCAGATAAGCGTCCATGCGGGTCTTTTCATGAGTCGATGTTTACTGTGAGCCGGATACCTTGTGCCTTTGTCTAACGGAAATCCAATCCTGTTATCGCATGCCAAGACAAGACAATACGACAATAGGGAATTCGTGTTAAGCATAATTGCTTGTCACTCATGTATCGGCATTGCAGTTACTCAAAAGAGCGAAGACTCTTTGACCACGGTTACCCACGTCTTCCTTGTGTCATGGGTGTACCTAAGTTAAATATCTCCACATCGTCGGAGAGAAAAAAGAAAACGGTCGATGAAGCGCAACAACCTGGACAAGTTGGCTTTTACTAATTACTTACAGGCGGAATTGGGTACTGATACGACAAGGATGACCTCGCCGTTGTCACATGTATGTATGGATACGGATAGACTTGTTCCTACTGCAACTCACTTATCAATCGTCGACTCATCAAATTCTAGTCATTGTCTGTCTGCTACGGAGCCAGTAAGGTCTCACATCTTGAAGCGGCCCGTCCCCTTTACCCTCTGACCCAAGACCCAAGTTAACAGGTTAGAGGCAATTAATCAAAGCCCTCCCGCCCTGTCAAACTCTTTAGCGCAACCCAAATGTCAGTAATTCCAATTGGAAACTCTTCCAGCTCTCCGCATAGTTCATAGTCTAGTACATGGTTGCCTATCAACATTTCGGCAGTTACAAAAAATAGTATGTATGATGCAAAAACAACACCAACACCAACACCATCACATACTAAAAACCCTCACCCCCCCGGATACCCTTTCCCTTGTCCCTTATCCGGCAGGTCGGTTCACGTTGGGCATCGACAAAAAAGATGTCAAACCCTCCCCAGTCTAGGATCGTCCCGCCGTGATCCCATTCGCTGGAGACTCCGTAGAACGAAAGAACTTCACCACGTATCACACAAACTGTTGCCTCTTGTTATGCGCTGTCAGAGTTTCCCGGCACGCATTAGACTGTCGGCCCGGCGCCGCGGAGTTTAGCCTCTCCCCGACCCGTTGGTTTGGACTTGGTGTCTGCCCCGAGAGTGCGTCTGCGTTTGCGTCTGTGTCTATGTCTGTGTGCTGGCGTTGTCTCTGCATTTGCATATGATACCGGGCCTTTGGGAAGATAACCCCTGAATTTTGGCTTGATTTCTTCCCTTTGCCCGCCCCAGTTAGTGATGCATCATGCAGGAGAACGCGTCATTAACTGTGGCCATTGGATATGCATTGTTGCATTCTGTCCTGATTGTGTTCCTGCAGTTACAGGGGGGGTTATTGGTTATTCAGAGAGCTTAGATGATCCAGAGTTGAGTTGTTCTCAAAGCTGATGATAGATAGCCAATGCCATAGCGTCTACGGAGTAGCTTGACCTACAGAAAAGCCAGCGATAGTTGTTGCGGTCATCTTGATTGCTACGTGGTCTAACCCATACGGTAGACGCACAAACATGTATCCCCGGTAAGTTAGGTATGTATTCGAGACTCTTTTTGATTTAGGTGATTCAAGTTGCAGCCCCAGCTTTCGGACTTCGTCTCGTCATCAGCCCCCTCGTACGTGGTATCTATGTCTTTCACCTTCTATCTGTTCTATTTGTCAAAATGCATCTTGAGGAGAAACAAAAAAAGAAAAGAAAAAAAGGCCCGCAAAAAGAATGGCTGTTCGTTAGGCGGTAATTTGATAACCGCCGCCGTTATTTTGATGTAGCCCACTTGTATCCTCACCGTTCTGTTGTGTTGATCGACAACCACCACTCATATCATCATTTTTGTGCTGTTCCGGCAGCTTGCCCTGTCGTATATCTTGGGACTCAAGGGGTTCATCGCGCATTGATCGCGCATCATCCGGAACCATCTCGCCATCGCTCACCGTAGGAAACGGCGTGAGAACATGGCTGATGTCTCCCCACCAGGTCTCTCCGAATTGCGTGAACCAATCGACTGTGATCTTGAGGCCTTCATCAATCGACACTTTCTGCTCCCAACCAAGCCTCTTTAGCTTGGTGCCATCAACTGCATACCGACGGTCGTTGAAGGGTCTGTCCCGAGTGTACTTGATCCACTTGCGGAGCTGCTCCGGGGTGTCGTGTGGTATCCTCATTCGGTCGAGCAGCATCCCGCAGAGCTCTAGATTGGATACTTCATCATGTGAACCGACGTTGTAAATCTGGCCAATTTGACCTTTGTGGAGAATCGTGTCAAACGCATCAGCTGCGTCGCCAGCGTAGAGATATCGCCGGGTAGGCGTGCCGTCTCCGTGCAGAACCAGTGGCCGCTGACGGTTAAGAAGACATGTAAACTTGGGGATGATTTCTAGTCGCGGTCGGTTAGAATCTTGAACATGCATCACGCGGTAGACAGCTTTCTGACTCACTCTCCGGATACTGATGAGGACCGTATACGTTATTACTCCGCACAATGATGGCAGGTAATTTGAAACTCTTCTGGTAAGACTGCACTAACATCTCAGCTGCCGCTTTGCTGGCGGCATATGGATTTGTAGGAGCCAATATGCTCGTCTCGAGAAGGTCGTCGTCGTCGTCTTTAACTTCACCGTAAACTTCATCAGTCGACACATGAATGAAGCGGCCAATGCCAACCTTCTTGGCGCTTTCAAGGAGAACATGAGTTCCGTAGACGTTTGTGTGTGTGAAGCCATAAGAGTTGCCAAAGCTCAAGTCCACATGTGACTGGGCGGCAAAGTGTAGAACTGTATCAATATTGTATCGCTCCATACAGTCAACAACCTCAGCTGGATTGGTGATATCGCCATGATAGAAGGTAAAGTTGGAGGATTCACTTAGGACGCCTGTGTTGTTGAGAGCAGCGCAGTAGTCTAGCTTGTCGAATGAGACAATATTATAGGCATGTGGATAAGTCAAAGTGAGATGGCGGACGACCCAGCAAGCGCTTGAAAATGGATTGTCAGTGGAGCAGAGCTTGGCGTTGCAGGACGACACTCACATGAAGCCAGCGCCGCCCGTAATCATGATGTTTTTAACATCGGAGCGAGGCTCAA